TGTTTATAGCTACAATTAACACTCAGTCGGTAAGGGCACAAAATTTATAAATTACGCACATCTCCACTATTTCTTTTTCTTTTCCCTCTTTTTTTTGTCAGTCATCATGTTACACGAATAGGGGGCATCACCTTAGTGATTGGCCGAATTAAAAAGAAAAAAATCAATCTTCTATTCAAATTTGCAAGCGCTATGCATCAGCCACAAGTCGCGCCTTTGTTCCGCTGTCACACCAATAAAGGACATCCCCTGAGTGTTTGTCATACAAGGAGAATAAGGCAGACCAAGCTAAGCATGGATAGTCCGATTATGCCGTCCGTTGATGGACTCGATGCTATGAGTTGGTCTAAATGACGTTTTTTAATCTGATATCGACTTTTGTGAAATGAATGCAACGTCCTAGCATAACATTCAAAATGATAATGATTTGAAATCACTTCAATGCGCCATCTTCTATACAGATTATTGTAAAGCATGCCCATTGCACAACTTATCGCTCAAGGTCATTCTATTCCCGTGCATTCTAAGTACCAATCTATACTATTTAGTAAATCTAACAAATGTTAATTTCTTTTAATTCTGTTTATTTATTTTATTAAAATCAATTTTAATTAAAATCCCTCGTTCTTAATAAATTGATAAATAAATCAATTATGATTTATTGATAATTAAACATTTTCTACATTACAAATTTTTTTTTTTTAAATTTTTTTTCAATAAAAATTTCAAGCGAAAATACACACACAATCATAATCTTGAATTTAATTACATGAAAGTATGCAAACTACGATATGAAGCAAAGAATGAATGGGTGAAAAAGAGAGAGGATGATGTTTTGTATTCAAGGCCGTTTATGAGTTGGTTTTATTTGACGGTCTGTTAGTTAGTTTGGTTGTCCGTTTAATTGACTTTACTTAGTCTTTGCTTTTGGTTTTTTTTGCTTTTTTCTTTAACTTGTGGCTAACGTAATAATTAATTTGAATTAGTAGCACTTGTCTACCAATAATTTGCTAGCTATTTTTACCGGTTTCGTTATTACAATGTATTGCTATTATGTTTTAAAATTTTTTCTATCAAATAATTTAAACAATTTGTACTTAATATGACTTTTGAAAAATAAATTTTTAAATTGGCCGTTATTTATAAATAAAAACTATTTAATATTATTTGCAAGAAAACAAATTTATCTAAAGTTGAAAGAAACAAAAAAAAAATTTTTTTTGAAGAATTAGCTTGTATAAGAGTTACAACAAAAGATTCCAAAACTTTTACTTATTATTTAAACAATAAACTTGGACGAATATCAATTTTAAAAACCCTACAATGGACTACGACCGACCTTTAAATACTCTACCCCAACGTACAGATGCCTTTAAGTGTTTTGCCTGAATACCCGGTTTGTAAGCCTAACTTCCCGGCAGCCGAATGCAGACGAATTAATTTGATAACTGATAAATAACTCCCCCAAAAGGTAGTATAATACCCATTGAAGGGGGCCCTATTACTCCTAAGTTCCCAGATGAGAAAAAGGGGGTGAATCAATTTTCTTCGGCTTGGTCAGCGTCCAACCTTATCTGTCACCTCATTATTCAACGGCCCACGAAGCTTCGCAGCACTGCCACCATGATATCGCTCAAAATACCCTACTCAGCACTCAAGCAAGACGGCATCTATCCTGGTAATTAAATGGGATACGCATTGTCATAACAAAGGAACAATAAACTTCGCAATAACATTCGTGCGCACCCACAACTTCATGACTCGCATCCTTTGGTTTTACGCCATGCTACATAGATTTCAGTATTATTTAACTGCACGCAGCCAAAGTTACGCTTACCTTTGCAACAGTAACGGCAGCTAACCCAACTTACAATTATTCATGTAAGGACTTTTCAAAATAGGGCGTTATATGGGAAGTAGCCCGATTCGAACCATTTTTAATAGCTTTCATCCTTGTGGCGAAAAACGTCGGTGTACGAAATTGTAAAAAAAAAAAAATGGCGACCTGTAGGAAGAACAAGAAAGCGAGGCAGATAGACGGACCGGTAAGGTTAGAAAGTGATTCTGAATCGGTGGGTATAATAATCTAAACCTATCTAAAGCCATTTCATGTGTTACATACATCCATAGGTGTAGGTGGTATAGGGCGTAAAAAGACATTCTTGTAGCATAGCATTTTAAACTGAGAACAAGTCAGAAAACTATATTCGATCGCGACCGAATACCCACCACCGTCGTTCTAAAAAGAAGGAAATAACTAAATTTTCATACTTCATAATATTGAGTGAGTGTGGCTGATTTTTGCTATTTTCAGAATAAAAATGTAAGTTTATTTCGTGTATGTGCCGCACTTTATAAATAACAAGCAAAAATCATGGAAAGTTTCACAGTTTCTGTTACAATTGGCGTTTCAGGTGTATTCTTTGAAAAGTTTGCGTCATGTTCAAATTCTTTTGCGAGTATATAATAATGTTGACAAAATTCACGCATTAAGTTACACTTTTTCTTAAGATACTTTTAGGCTGCTGATGTTTACAAGAAATTACTATATCTATTTCACCTTTAAAATAAAGCTTCGTTTCAATGAAATAACTGTGGCGTTGTGTATCCAGATTCATTTTTCATACTTAAACAATTTTTATGTGTCTAATACGCCCCAGTGTGCCAATGAATTGTTGTGTCATGTAAAATGTTCCTTTTTAATTGCGTTTTCAGTTGAAATTAATAAGAAAAAAAAATAAATAAACAGGAAGGAAATGAATATGATTTTAAAAATTTTAGTTAAAACCTTTAATTTGTTAATATTTATATTTAGAAAGTTGTTTGCAAGACGTACAGACAGAAATGCTCAAATCGATTTAGAATTTGATGCTAAGCAGGAATGTGTATTCTTTGTGGTGTCTCTGATGCTTCCTTATGCGCGTTGTAAACGTTTTGACAAATGAATATATCCTTCACCATTCGGTGATGGGTATAATAAATGTTTTGTTTTTTTTTGCAAATACTCTAAGTGTGTTATATTGTAAACATTTAATTCTTTATACATTACCTTATAGTACAAGAGCATGCACACACACAACACCCAGAAGAACTTCAGATGGACCCATGTTTTATTATATATAGATTCAGAATCACTTTCTGAAACGATTTAAGCTTGTTTGTCCGTCGATCCATGTTGCTTTCTTCTTTACAACTTCCAGGTCGCAAGTCTGGACACATTTTGATCAAATTTGGTACAACGACCTGTTCTGGCCCGCATTCAAAATAGTTCTGGAGGCGATTGAAAGTGGTTTGAAGTGAACAACTTTTTCGACCACTTACCAAATAACGCCAAATTTTAAAAAATCGTTATACGAGAAAAAATGACAACTTTTAAAATTTCTCAGCAAAAGTCGCTGATTAATAGTATTTCTAAATTGGTATGAAAAATTTGATTAGACAGGGCCAATTTTTGAATTACCTCCCATATAACTGTTCCTACGAAAATTGAATCTCCATATGGTAACAATGTAATATTCAATATTTTGTGATGAAAATTGGTTCACAATAGTAAATTGACCTTACCGAATTTGGACGACTTAGTTCTCCTTCTTAGAGCCGGCCTCATGTAAGATTTCTCATAATTAGTAATGAAAATCAGAAACGATTTATTTTATGACGAAAATTATTCACTATTACCAACTTAGCAAAAAAAAGGAACGAATGTTATTACGAAAAGCAAGACTTTATATGGAAAGAAAGTCTAATTTCTAATGCTCTCTGACGTGAACTGAAAGATAATAAAATTAATATGGAGTCTATGAAGGGTGCTAAGTTTGGATCCTGTCATGTGATGTTTTGGGCGTCCCCGAATATGGGGTCTTTTATGAAAAGTATGTCTTTGCATAAAAGTAATATACTATTTCTGATGTAGTCTAGAGTATTTAATAGTTAATTTAAGATGTCATCGACTATACTCTTTCATTTCTATATCATGTCTGTATCCAACAAAGTGTAAATGTTCTTGATCAGCATCAAATTCTAAATCGATTTAAGCATGCCCGTCTGTGTAATGTCTGTTGTAAACATTCTCCTGGTCGCAAAAATTAAGCTAACGACTTCAAATTTGACAGAAACATTGAAGGTTCTTGCACGCAAGGTTGGCATTAAACATCAGCCGAATCGGTTAAAGGGTACACCGACAGCAGTCCATAAACTGAGAAGACCTCCGTTTTTCTCATTGCTTATAAACTATAGCAAATAAATGTACAAAAACTTGAATGCATATTCTGCGGGCGATACTGCAGCATATATGAACAAAAATGAAAAAAAATTACCACGCCTACCCTATACTATAGTATGTCAAAATTTAATTATTTTTTCAATGCCCTTATAACATGCAGAAACAGGCTTCAAAACCCATATAAAGTAAACAATTTCTTCGCCAGTTTCGGAACTTCAATGCACCTACACATGTCCTCCTGTTAGCCTATCCATATGTCTGTGTGCGCAACTTTGTAGCATTTGTGGTAAACACGAAAATGAAGATATCGCCTACAAATTTGCAAAAGAATTTTTAACTGACATAAACTTTCCAAAGGATACGACTACACCGCCAGCATGCCTCTACGGCAAAAACTTTTAAAAATAAAAGAAATCAACTGCGTCCAATCCATATTACCGAGCATGAGAATTTTGATCTTTCACTTTTTTTGTCTTTTCTTGTCGGTACAAACATTCAGTCCTGACCGAATTTAATTTTCTTATTTGTTTTTTTTTTCAGCATAGTGAATATACGAGACGTTTTTTCATTTTACATCTACATTTGAACTAGCCAATAAGATGACCAAGAATCTCATTCTTTTGGCATTACAAATTGAAAATATTATAACAAAAATTTCTAATTTTCAGGTTTTTTCCATTTTTTTCAAATTTTCGTTTACGATGTAATTTCATTTCATTTGCAAGAAAATTGAGAAAATTCTCAACATAAAAGAGTAGAAAAAAACGATCGAACTCACCTGCATAATGGGATACGTGGCTTTGCTTTTCCCTAAACGATGTATGATAGTCAACTTATCAGTGTCCGCTATAACGGCAGCAATATTGGATGATGTCAATATGGGACGTGCTAGCGGTAAAATTGGTACAAAGCCTTTATTACGTTCGGCAAAATCGCGATCGAGCCAGTAACGACGATTGTTAAACCCGCTCACTTGTTGTTGATGCTTTTGCGAATAATATCCGCCACCACCACCTTCGGCCTTATAAGCTTTAGCCCCCCAACCAATCGACGAACCGTAGTCACTTATCGAAGAAATGGAAGAACGACGTGACGACGATGTTGTAAATACATAAGATTTAGTTTTACGATATTGCTTTGTTGATCTTAGACAATCATTTGATAAAACTTTAAAGTTCTTACCATCATTGAAGATATCTTCTTGTCCTCCACTTACTATTACGTTTCCATTTGAGGATTTTAATGGTTTCACACATTGTTTCGTTAAAGCAGATGTTAATAAATCGCTGTCTGTTAGTTGTTGTTTTTGAACGCCAACAATAACTTTCTCATTGCTATCAGACGATGCCGTCGAATTTGATTTTTTCTCTAATTTTTTGTTACTATTTTTGTTCTTCTCGCGTGACAAATGATTATATTGACCATTACTATTATTATTACTGTTACTGCTATAAACATATGTCGTTTTCGTATATATGTTCTTAGTGCCTACGGTTTGAGCATAGCTGTAATTTGAATTATGATAAATAATCGATTTTTGAAGTATCTTTTTGCTGTCAGACGATGTCGATACCGGTGATGTCGATGTCGGTGATAATGACCGGGAAGCACCAGATGAAACTGAGACCGGGGGATTGTTAATGTCTTTCTTTAGGGTGGTAGGGTTATTGTTCGAATTTTTTAAATTCTTTTTAATTTTTGTATTTTCATTATTCCTATGGTTTTTCTTTTCTTTATTAGTTTGATAATTTCTGCTATTGTTGTTGTTGTTATTTTTCGTTTCAATTTGACGCTGAAGTTTTTGTTGCTTATGTTTACGTTTATTATTAACTTTTGCATGGTCGTCAGTCATTTTTAGGCCTTTCTTCGAAACGTTTTTATCTTTTTCTTGTTCTACGGTTAATTGTTTTTGCTTTTCTTTATATATCGAGTTTGTTGTTGCCATATCTGCAATATTTTAATATTCAAAAATTGATGTTGAATTTATAAAGCTTACTGTTATGATTATTATTATTATTTGCTAACTGTTTTTCGAAATTTTGTCTTTTGCCTTATAGCAACTTTAATTTAATTTAATTAAAAAAGTCTTTCTCTGTTTATATGAATTTTTTTTCTTTTTTAATGTCTACTTCTTACATTAATTGCACCTGAAATACACAATAAAAAACAAATTATTTCGTTCAAGTAATGATGATGCACACACACGTGTCAGTTTTTAAGGAAATTTATACAATTTCTGCATTTTATTATTATGAACACGCATGCATGCATGGGTGTAAGTCGCTGTTTTTGAAAAGAGCACTAAAAAAATATTCTTCTCAAAATATTTTCTCTTCGGAAATATTTCTTCCTTACATTAAATTTCCAAATCATACTAAGATGGCTGAAAATTAATTGATATAAAGGTTTTTCTCTCCTGCTTTCTTTTATTATTTTTTCTCTGCTTTGCTTTACTTAGCTGATTACTCTTTTAATTAAAAGATCGCATAATAAAATGTTCAATTACTTAAGGGTACGTTTTTCAACAATGCCTATAAAACTGTATAAACAAAACCTATTGAAGGAGAATAACATAATGAGAGGGAAAATTGACTGAGTCTCTCTCCATGAAAGAGAATAATTTTAAAACATGTTCAGATATGTACAGTACGCGTGAAGTGTTGCTACAACATGTTTACATGATTACAAAGCAAACACCAACTCATCATATTTTAAAATAATTGTAAAATGTTTCTTGCGTTAAATCGACACACATGCTTCTATCCATTACTAACTGGAATGCTTAAAAGGTTAACCAAAAACGCTTCCTTGAAATGTCTAGTGTCGTTTTTGACGTTGTCCTATATGCCAGGGTTTATGAATTTAAAAGAAATGCTTTCTTTTCCATGCGTTCCTCTTCGCGAGAAGTTACCGTAATCGTCGCAGTTTCTACATTGTTTGAATTGCATATCCGGATTTCACAAATACAATAATTACAAATTCAAACAAATCAAAATTCGATAGTAAAAAAAAAGTTTCGATAGTAACTGCAAAAAGAAAGTAAAACAATTTATATTTTGTTTCTTTTACACAACAATTTATATCGTTTCATATATACACTCTCAATGTATTACGATGAAACACATTTCAATTAGAAAACAAGTAATTAAACATCCAATGGCACCATAAAATACTCTACAGCATTTCGCTTAATTTATTTGTTCATGCAAAGGCTTCTTAAACCAGGGCGAATATATCGGAAGTGTTCGAAAAAGTTTTCCAGTAGAGTTCATCTTCGCCAGTGCATTAAATATCATCAAAATATAGTGAAAATGGATAGGCAAACTTAGATAGACTCAGAAAGTGATTCTTGATCGATTGGCATATTAAACGGTGGATCTATGCCAATTCCTTCTGATTATTGCACCCATGCGAACTTAATGTAGCATTGTACTACAACCAGTGCATCGTATAAAAAGTACATCATATCATCTTTCTTTTAATTGCTTTTCATTCCCTTTGCTTGCCTACTTATAAATGCACATACGTATCTACTCTGGAGACGTTATCATGGCAAAATATCAATATTTTGTGTTAATTAAGTGCGAACCTTTTAACAAAATTAATTGAATTTTGAACTTATTTGAAAATGGAAATGAAACATTCTAGATTACATTCATTGTTCCACGTTATAAGTAAGTGAAGATTTGACACGTATTGCCACAAGCTAATTAAGGGTGAAAACAAATGGCAATTTAAGACGATTATATTTTAAAAATTTTGTGTACTCATCACGAGGACCATCGCAAGCTTCATATCGTGCATACATTGCTCATCAGTTTTGAATATATCTCTAAATATCCCCCACCCATTTTTCTTTTGAAATAAATATTAAGCTCGCTTGATCTAAGAAAATTCTTGTTAAATTAATTGCCCATGAAAAACCAAAGCTTGTGTGTCCGTCTTCAATCTTGTGTTCAACAAATATCTATAATTCGCCCACATACGAACGCCATTGAAAATGGTCCGGCTCGGACCATTTCTTAGAGCACGTCCCATTTATGTTGGCGTAAAGTATTTTAATGTAGGCAGTGACCACTATAATGTTTTTACTTGTTTTTTAATTATAAGATGAAAATTGTGAAGGTCTTAAATAGGAATAAATCCCTTTGATCCTAAATATTTTCTTAAGTTCCGAAGCATTAAGTTGGAGAATCATCCCAAATTGAACTAACCCCAATTGCCTAAAAAACAATTGTTCACAAGACGCAACATGCAAACAAAATTCTTGGTGAAGAGAAGTGATTCGGAAGAATCATTTCCTTCCAATCAAAGGTAATAGATAAAAATAATTACTCATAGATAACTCAATCAGCTAGATATCAAGAGCAAAATAATTTATAAGATTAATAGCTCTAAACACTGTTAGCCTTAAGAAACAATAATTCAGAAATACACCAAACTCTCTTTTTACATAATTTTGAATTAACGGGGTCACCAATGTATACATCTACCGTGTAACGAAAGAGTTGAGCGTATATGAAAACCGTTAATCGAATATCTCTCATTAGTTCCAATACTATTGAAGTGTCTCCTAATAATTGCAAACTGTTTAGTAGACAGAGAATCAATCTCGAACTATACTAAGGAAAATTTCCCCAAATTGGGTGTTATCGGCAATTTCACAGTCGAATGCGCTCTGCATAAACAATCTCTAATCATCATTACCAGGAATGGAACAATTTTAGTTGAAATGATAAGACTCGTATCAGTATTGTTTGGGGTGATTTCTTTTTATAAGCACATATGTACATATGCATACATATAAAATAAATATATATAATGTATAGTTTTATTTATCTCAACTTTCTTATCATAGATTGTGTCGTAAAATAAAAACAAGAATCATTCTTAATGAAGCGCAATTCTTGATATTAAAGAGTGGTTTTTCTGCGTCGTTCGTTTCTACTATGTGTGCGTGTCTAATATTGTTTTGTATAAATAAAAAATAATTTTTGTTAATAGTTATGCAAAAAGTGACTTTTATAACATTGGTACGATGATTTCGTGCCGTGTCTGCCCGGCAAGTTCTCCTTACGTACATTTACCTTTGATCGTCTAGATATTCTAAATGCGTTAATATTTCAGTAAGTTTACGTTCCTATTTGTAATTCTGTCCGATAATTGATCTTGACTTGTCTAGTCCAAAAGCAGCTAAAAAGCTAAATCAATGACCTGCAGTTGAGAAGAAAAAAATGATTCCGCCGAGAGATGACATTAATCGAAGACTGCACTCTTTGCATCGTTACCTAATATGAACACAAATACAAAGCCAAATGCAGCTTCCAAGCTGAATTTCTATGAAGAGTTCCAGGGGCTAATTGAAACTAAGAACACGTAATATATTCGTCAAAATTTCTATATTCTATCTTCATTTATGATAACCTTCGACTTTCAAAAAAACATGACAAACCTAAGACAATGATGACGGTTTGTGTGTGTTCGAAAAAGGCACAAAGAATATATGAGAGGACTGCTTCAAACGAATTTACAACTATATACGCATAGTTTCAGCAAACTCAGAAGCTCTACTTAAACATTTACACGGAGCCTTTGATTTTATTTCTTGATAATATAAGATTTTTAAAAGCCAGCGAACTTAGGACATATGTGTTGAACTTTAATTTTCCTCCTTTTTTTAGAAACGAATAGCTTTAAAATAAATTATTTGGATATCAAAAGAATACACAATCAAATTAGTGTCTCCGCACTTAATCACAAGCTCTGCTGCCCTCTCAAACTCCTTTAAACCGTAAGAAAGCAGAAGGAAAGAATAACTTTTAAAAGCGTGTACAGTCCTTAGAGTAACATTTTTGTTCATCTCGCAAATAAGACTCAATAGAGGAAAATGTTCATGAAAAAGCATTGAGTATATTATGCATCTGTTCTTGGATTTATCGTCGCCACAGTTTTGTAATACTTACCTATTTTTCGTCGGAATAGATTTTTTAACATTTCTGTGCTTTTTAAAAAAATAAAAGCTTTTCGTTCCTAAACTCTTTGCCAAAACTGCATACGTACTACGCACATACGAACAAGCAAACGGATCAAATGTGTATAATAAAACATTTGTGAAATACTAAGTGGTGTAAAAAGCATTGACCTTAATAATAAGAACCGTTTTACCCTATGACACTTATTATATTTTCTGAGAGTAAAAATTCAACAAAAGCGGCAGAGATGAATGATCACTAAAGTTCATACTCCACTTTCGTAGAAGACGAAAGCAACGTGCTCGTCTTCTTCTTCTTGCGTTCGTCTTTTCTCTTCTTCTTCTTCTTTTACACTCCTATCAAGATAACCTAGAACTAATTTTCATCGGGGTTGACTAATTACATTTTAGAAAAGCAGCGATAAAAGTGCTTGCAATAAAAACACCTTACCAGCATATGCGGCTGCTGTAACCGCTCATTAGTCATAAAAGGAAACAATATCTTTTTTAGTTCTACTCTTTTTGATTTTGCATCACATTTGGTATTCCGGAGCAATAGTCACAATGGAACTTCCGAACAGCAGCTTTTTATTATATAAATATGTTAAGTTACGAAAGCCACCATATGGCTGCTTTGTGACGTATAACCTCTTTATGATGCTGCCCAATATGCGGCTGTGTTTTCGACTTCTAAATGCTCATCTTAACCTATACCAAAGCGTCTTTATCTTCACGAAGACGAATAAGTCTCGCCGAATCATAAAAAAGTTTTTCCAAATCACGAAACCGATTTACTAAAACATGTATTTAATAAATATAATATTATTAAGACAAGAAAACTTTTGCTTGAATATGAATTTTTTTTCTCGGAAACAAACCTATAGTTTCGAGTAAATTTAAGTGCGCTCTTTTTTAAGAAGATCTCTTCTTACGAAATGAAACTTAACTGTTTTACTTTTCGTTTCATTGCATATAAATTCAATCATTTCCAATTCGAATCTCATATTATAAATAGTTAAAACCATGAATGTATAAGAGAAATCCTATATATAAAGATTTCGCTCACGGGAAAAAATTAGTGCGAAACAATTACTCTAACCAGCCCAACCTTCTTTCAGCATAACAACACTGGCTCACATTGAAAGAAACTTTATCACGATATCTGCTGTATTCCTCTGACTTTATTCTAACAAATATTCACATCTGCAAAATAATTTCAACATCAAAATCTGTGGAAAATAATAAACAACTACCTGAAGTGCCTCCTAGCAAGGAATTATTGTCGCTATCTCTTTGTTGTATTCGTTTATTTTTTATACACTTATATATACAAGATTATATATTATATTTCAAGCACTTGTACGAATATATGGTAAGAATTAAGAGAAAATTTTTAAAAATAGCTTCGTCCTAGCTTTGTTACTTTCCTGAGTGTAGAAAATTCTTTATTAATTTCTAAATTCAAATCGTTACTCATTTTAACTTATTGTGAAGTTGCCTCCCCTTGAAAATTAATCGTCAGAAAAGTTTTAAAAAATTTCACATATAATGATTTGCAAAAACTAATTTCTAAGCGTATGTAACGCTATTTGCGGTCGTACAACCAAATATCTTATGCAAATAAGTGATCCCCTTATCCCTCTCCGTAACCGTGACAATCTAATATTGTTATATTAGATAATAAAGTGTTTTCCTATTACGTTTTAAACCCGGTTATAGATACGTTCATATAATGTACATATAATATTCATAAACTATATCCATATATATTTATATACATATACATATATATTGTTTAAAACAATTTAAATTACAACAGACGCGGACTATTTTCTTTAACATGTAAGAAATAATATAATCTTTTTTCAAAACAGACTAAAATTTGATTCTCATGCATAAACAAAATACGCTAAAGGAATCTTAACTTAAATAAAAGAGAGCGACGAAAGAGAAATAGCAGCTGCCTCTGTTTTTAACCTCTGTGTGTGTGTGCGTGAATGTGTGCACATGTGGCAAATAGCTTGCTTTCTATTAATTGTATGCATATACTGCGGTATTTTTTTCCAAATACGTTCGGCGACGTCACACAAACCATACAATAGTCAATAGTAAATTGTTGCCAATTCAATTATAAGTATAGAGAGAGAGAAAGAATCCTTTCTTCTTATTATTATTAAATATGAAAAGAAGCTTTTTATTGCAGTGAATATATATATGCATACATATTGATATTCATACATAATTGATAATTGATTTTCGTAGTTTAATAAAAAAAAAAGAATGCAAGTTATGACAAAGTCAAGTAAATGATAAATGAAACATTATAAGTTTATAAATTTTCATTAGCATCAACATTATAAAACTTGCAAAAAATGTTCTGCGAATTAATACTGGAAGGTGCAATAATGATTCCTTATATTTTTCGCCATTAATTATGCAGTCGCAGACACAACACACACACAAACACGTACTTACGTGCAATACATGCATAGTACTCATGTGTGCACAAATTTACCTACGTAGATAGGTATATGGATAGGTATAGCTTTTTTTCCAAATATTTATAAAATAGATTTTCTTTAACTTAATTCTTTAATATTGTATTAAGAGATTTTCTTTACTAGCGAAAAATTCATACTTTTTCCCCGTAGCGTTGATAACAAAAAGAAAAAAATATTTGCAAATTTTTTTTTCAAATATCTCGTGCTTATTTTGTTCTTCTTCTTCCTTTCACTCTTCACTCTTAATGAGATATATAACTCTTTTTGGTTATAAACTCCTTTAAAAAATTTAAAAAAAAGGTTTATTATTCGATTTGATTTGCTCTGATTTTTCAAATCTTTGCACAGAATTGATTAAATGAATCAAACGGTGGAGCAGAAAACGAATACTTTGCTGTTGCTATTCTTCTTTTCATTTAACTATTAAAGTAAATTTAATAAATAAGCCGTAAAAAGTGAAAAACAAATACAAACACCCGGTATTTGATAACAGCGACGTTCTACGGTTTTAGAGAGTCTTACGAGTCGAACATGTGGCGAACAACTAAATGACAGACAACCACCGCAAGCGCCAAGAAATCCAATCGCATTAAAAATTGTTGTTGGCGTTTGTTATTTTCCTTCTTAATTTTTGCGTTTTTTTTTTTTGCGTTTGAGGAGACGAATGCCAAAAAAAAGAAAGAAAACCATCTACATATACTAGAAATGGCACAAAATTAATTTACACAATGACAAATACCACAAATAAACTAATGTGTTACACACAATTGCAAGCATATGTTTATATATGTATATGTGAATTTGGTGTGGGTAACATGAGAAAAAAAGAATGAAAAACAACACAAACTTGTATATACACAAATGCGACTAGGAAACGAATCTTTAGTTTACAAGCTACATTATAGAACGAGTATTACTACATTTCTCTCTCTCTCTCTCTTTCCCACTCTCTTTCTCCATGAAATGTGAAAAAAGAAAGCAAACAACGAAGCGCAAGAATCTTAATAAAAGAATCACATAATATTTCGGCCTGAGAATATATCCGATAGTGCATAAAAAAAAACAAATTGATCTTATTTACGAAAATCTGAATAAGAGATAAATTTAAGAATCAAGTCGTTTTATTTTATACTCTATCCTAAGAGAAATTTAACGTCTTTGCCGATAATTCTGAAACTTTTAAGCGAGGGTTGGAAAAGGAGTAAAGAGCAATCATCCCTTAAATGATCTCTATGCAGTTGAATATTTAATGTTGATAAAGTAGCAAGTTATAGAAAAGTACTTATATAATTGATTTGAATTCACATTTTTTTTCTTTGCTAATTCCACCGGCTTCTGAACCAATAAACAAGTTTTTCATTAAATCTTGATTACTTTTCGTTGTTTGCGATAAAATGATAGTAGCATCGATAACGTATTTTATTCATTTTTCGCTTTCTTTCACAAACAAAAAGAATAATTGAAGTCATTCCACCCCTCTTAATGGCTATAAGCACATGTACAAATATGACTATGAAAATTTCCGAGGATAATAACATTTTTGTTTTCTGCTCTGTCCTCCCAATGAACTTCTTGCGGCGCTATCAAACATTCGTCTAAAACCAGTAGTTTTGTCTTCAACACCTTCTTTCTTTTAGTTTGTGTATTTTGTTCATTTTCATCGAAAAACTTGTGTATTTTGTTTAGATTCATAGAAAGATATGTAGCTATGCCACGGAAAGATTTGTTTCAAACTAGTTCGTTACTAAGGTTTATAAACACAATAGGTTTTTTACCAACAACAGATTCTGTTTTTGTTAGCTGAGAGTACGCTCTTAAGAGTTCTGAAGCCATCGGTCATTGCTGCAATAACAGAACTTCCAGGCCTCTAAATGGACAAGCGGCTGCCGAACCGACGACGACTACTTCCTCATCAACACAATGAACTACGAAATTGTAGTCAAGGTCGAAGAAGAGTTTGCATCATTTGTTGGGGTAGCGTTCAAGGACATTAACATACGGTACCTAAACAATGCAGAAGAAGGCTACTGCTCACAGGTAAGGAATCGCGCGCTACATCCATGAGCAGCTAGCCTGCCAAGCGTGTCTAAGGGAGTTCACCCAAGAGGAAGAAGACATTTTCGGAGCGGTGAGCGGTCGAAAAGCTGCCAAGGAAAAGGAAAAAAGACAACTTGACCCTCACCAGCTTGAAATCGGCCTTTTCAACAAAAGAGATGCTCAGCGTATTCAAGTCAGCGTACATAATTTTCTATACAAATATGCAGCAAAACCTTCAAAGAGAACTTCGACAAAAATATTACATGATTCTAAATTACAACACACTATCAAGCAGCACACCACCGACCAAGTGTTTATTAGTGCATTGAAAATAGGTACGCCCGTTCCGCTACTCCAGAAAAAGTGTAGCGCGCCTCGTTATATAAAACCAGTGAGGCATAGTACACTATGTGTGTCGAGATGGTGTGGTGGGAATTCGAGAGGGCCAGACGCAATTTAAAGCGCCTGGAAAAAGAGTGTCCGAGCATTTAACGAACCCTACAATGTTTTCTACGCCGCTATGCGGCAACAGCAGAACGAGATAGGCAATCTTCTTGCTTTCTTCAGGGCGAATATGCCAGTTGAATTAGAAAGAATAACACTTGTAGAATGTATAGAAACAAAGCTTGCCAGTTGCAAAAAAAAAAAAACTTGATTGTAAATAAAAGAATGTTAAAGTGAAAACGTGCAAATGTATTTGCCTTAGCAAAAAAAAAAACCACGATCTAACGATACGAACCGTATTCAGAAGAGAATTTCGTAACAGTATTAAGCGCTGCGCGTGATACTTGACTATACAAAATCGAAACGACTTCATTCAGGGATTGCAGTCCATTTTCCAAAGATTATTAAAGATCTTTTTGCTTAAAAGCAATTTACATTAGGACAAACGTGGATGTGAATTTCCTTGTAGAAACGGGTTTTTTTTTGGGTAAAAAAGAAGTAAGGATACCCCGATGATCCAAGTTATAATCTGTCTAAATTCTGATTAAAACTATATTTCATTTTTACATCCTTCACTTTCTTCTGTTACAAGTAAAAATCAAAAGTACAGAAAACGAGTACAAGCCCCGAAAATCGGGAAAGCTAAAGGGTTTTTTTCAAGGTATGATCAATATCTTATTTGCTAATAATAGAATTTTTATGGAATACAGAAATTTCTTGATTTTTGCATGAACAAACTCTGGCGAACATAATCGAGATTTCAGCCAAAAAATTGATTTATACGCCCAGCGTTCCAGACATTTGACAAATTTAGTGCAAGTATCTTCTAAAGTAAATATAAAAATAAATATGCTGCTTCCGATTTATATATGTGAAGCGTGCACCTTCTTAATTCGGAAAACAGAACCGTCTAAATGCTGGTATTTCTATGTCCTTAACTGGTTTTATGCATTTGGTTCACAAGTATAATGGTTATACTCGCTTTCAGATGAGCCGTAACGAATCATAAAATCTCCTGTTACCTTTGCCATAATTTAATTAAGGGAAACCATTTTTGCACCAACCTTTTAAATGATTTTGTTAAGCACTCATTTTGAATTGCAATCTCTTGTTACCTGTACATTTCCCTATTTTGAATTTTCCCTACTTTGAAATTTCCCCATTTTTGAGTGTTTTTTCTGGTCACCTATGGTGTCGTATTTACACCCTACACCAGCTTTAATGCAAAGGTGTAACACTTGAAATAGACCCATCGACCGATCGATTCAGATTCAACTTCTGAGTCGATCTAAGCTTCTTTGCCTGTCGACCTAATGTTCTTGTCATCTTGTGTTTGACGCCGATGCGCTGTGGCTGACTGACGAACGTTAATGAAAATGTTTCAAATCCAATTTTTCGTTCACTTTATTGAAATGTCGTTATATTATTAACTGCAGGGTAGGGTACTTAATGGTAAGCGGTGGCACACTTCAATTGTTTTACCATTGTTTTAAATAAATACAGTGCACACCTCCAATGACCATGCACCAATGTATGGCCGGACTGTTTACCTATTGTGGCCAAATCGACTTGGCGTATTATTCCCTCAACGTGTACACATACTAAGTTTCAGCTCATTCTCCCAATTGCGACCAATGATGGACAAACTGATAAACTTATGCAAACCACAATGTAACATTCATCGATAAAATAAATTCTTCATAAAATTCCTAACGGATAGTCTTGGATGTTGCAAATAATATAATAAAATGGAGCCTTTAATGATGAACACAAGAGTTCTTTTTGAATACCTTGGTAGTCCCATTGCAAAAATCTTACTTAACATCTATGCATTTCATCACTAAGGATTTCTCTCTTATGCTGCCGTATAAGGGCTATTAGTGTACACATTACAGTTATGTAAGAGTATGTCTTAAAAATTAGTTGTTAACTTTGAAGGTTACAGAATTAATGGCTTCAGTAAAGTAACGAATTTATGTCTACAGAATTTTAACAGCGAAGGGAGAATAGGTGCTCCCTCACATGCTAATTATCGGTGCTAGTTTCAACGGTTTAAAAGTGATGATTTTAACGTCCATAACAAAGATGCCCTCAAGAACCAAAAAACTCAGAGACAATGAGTTGCCAGACTTATTGAACCAGAATCCTCCTCAAAAGGATGAAAAATGCCATTTTTCACCGTCTCAACATACCGGTTTGATTGATTCCCGACCAAAAAAGAAGAGTCCTCTGTGTTGTATTGTGATTTGCAATGAAAAGTGAGCCTACTACGACGAATATTCATGGTCATAAAGTTTTTTTGTACATTTGGCGAGGTCGGCAAAGTGTAGTATATCTGGTAAGGTGTAGTATAGCTGGTATAGTTTCATTCGGTGTAGGCAGAAAAACCTGTTACTGCAGATGTCTGCCGAGCAAATTGAACGAAGTGTTGTTGCAAAAAAGACCAGCAATAGCAATAGCAAAGTCATCCCCCTCTTACGTGACAACGCTCGGGTACATACTGCAAGAGTTGTCGAAAGTGCACTCTTTTACCTCGAACGGTCAGTTCTGGCGCAACCAGCGTATTCGACAGACATAGCAACTTCTTCAGATCGATGCAGCATGGCTTGGATGGTGCGTGGCTTCGAAATGCTGGAAAAGTGCGAAAATGGGTCGTTCGCTGCCCAAACAACATCGTTTCTTCAACACGGTATCGCCATGCTGCTAGAAAAATAGAAAAAAGTTGTAGAAAATGAACCATGATATTTTAATTAAAATGAATTATGCCAATTTCAACAATTCTCAACAAATTCATTTTTCAAGTGAAAAAATGATCAACATACATGCCAGCACTTAAAAAGTTCAACTATCTCCCCGGTACATGCATATCTTTTAGAAAAGTCATATAAGGCATTACAAATGAAATGAGAGCATTAGTATATTTACTCATTTTCTTGTTAAAGGTACAAAACGTTTCATGTATGCCATTCTCTGTTATTTAAGAACACTTTTTTGCGACGTAATTGCTTTCATTTTTTTTCTTTTAATAAAGTAGAACGCATAAGAAGAAATTGAAAGAATGTTGTTTATCATGTCTGTCTCCCTATATATGTATGTGTACGTATACCCGTCCATGTATATACATACACATAAATATATACATATATATACATATATAATTAAAAAAATTATTAAGAGCCAGTTCGAGTTAACAAAATAAAATGCTCTTTAAAACGTAAATTCTTCGATTTTTACTTTTGTAAAAGTCATGACATTTTGTAAGAATAATAAGTTCTATTACCTGTCATACGAACAATAAGTTAAAGTGAAAATTCAATTAATGAATAGTTTTTAAACTCATATAGAACCAATTTCAAGAAAGACGACTAACTGTTCAACGAACAACTGTCATCACATGACAGAATAGCTCTAGATGTTTGTTTATTTAACAAGCATTTATAAATTAATTGACGAATTGTGCTTCCATTCCACGTAAGTAGGATCTTGCTTACCTTAAATGCCTAATAAATATGAAGAAACCAATTAGTTCTTCTATGAACCGAAAGTGAACGTGAGAATATCATATAAGGCCGTGGCCCCTACAGTGTTAGTGTAAACTACTTCTTCTTTCTTTAAACTTATCACGAATGTAAAAATTGACAAAAAAGTTATAGATATTATAGTATAAACTTGTTTCTTTTGTGTGCCTGTGCAAGTATCAGTTCTTTCATTTTAGATTACTTCTATAGAATCTGAAACTGGTTTTGATGAATATTCGCAACACATTTTCGAACAATATCAGGCTTGTAACTTGTGACTTATGAATAGTATTGATGAAATATCATTTTTCTTTAAATTTTGCTAAGTTTCTGTTTTCAGCGATTCCTAATATAGCCGCAAGCAAATCACACCAATTTTCAAAATTCATCTCCGAACCTTAGGCGGATAGACATTTCATCAATTCAAGGTGTTATAAATAATTATATTTTTATATACATGAGCGTAACTAGCTGAATCAACTGAAAATATGACGATACATACAACAAGAAAATAAAAAGCGGGGGGATTTTTTTACCCGTGTGATATATACAAGAAAGGAATAAAAAAGAGTCTAATATATACAGCAAGAAGAAGAAAACTTATTATACGAGGGGTGGAATATAAAACCTTTAAATAAAATAAGAGAAATTTTAAATTAACTTAGTGCCCGGTCCAGAAGTTGTTTGATTACAATTCTGACTCTGAATTTGGAAACATCTGAGAGAAGTAAAAAGAAAGAGCAGGGCTGAATTTGGTCTCGGCTATCTTCGTCTGTTACAAGCGGAAAGATGAAACTATTATATTCTTGTTCTATCAATGATAAGTGTCGTAGTTCGACCTTAAAGTTCGCAATTCTCTTAATTTTGTTTTCAACTATTTATTACTTACATACATAAGAAAAAGTGTGACTTTAGAGAGCATTGTGACGTCATGTGATATGCATGAATAAAAAAAAAGAAAGAAAACAAGTTCAATGTTCATTAACAGTTATCTGTTCAAGCGTACACATGCATGCATGCATACATACGTTTATTATTGAAGGATAGTGCACAGCTGATTTTATTGGATTAGTAAATTTTTGCCGGTATGAATTTTAATAGTACGGAGAATACTATTGGGATTGAGTGAGACGATAGAGAGGAAAACCAAAGAGGGAGAAGAAAAAAAACGAATAGTGTATTTTTGAGAGCACAAAACATAATGTGTGAGCACACAAAGAAAAATAAAACAAACGTGATAAATGAGCGAAATTAGAGCAAAATCAACATAAACTTATTAACGAGAATAGAATTTTCTGGCAAATTTCTTAACGCGAACGCATTTGTGTGTTCATGGTATGTATTTTAAATAGCTTTTATTTTACGTGTAATGAAAAGTGCGTTCTTTATCCCCCTACAGATGAATGTATATTAATTTTGTTATCAAATTTTTAGTTTGGTGGAAGTAGTGTCAGTTCGCTTATGTGGATAATTAAGTTGCTATGATAGATCTCAAAAGCTTGTTCAAAGAAATTTTTTTTTCGGCTAGCATAGCTAAGATGACCTTAATTTTTTGTTTCCTACACATATCGGTTGTGGGGGCGATAGTAAGACACCACACTTAGCCGTAGTTTTTTATACGGAAAAAGTGCAAGGTAAGGGGAAAATATGGAAACTCATTTCAGCCAACAAGCTAAGTGTCAACGAAAAAAGTTTAGTTCTAGACACTAATTTCGGCAAATTTTGTTTTGCTTTTCTGAAACTCACCCTGTACTGTTTACACATATCAATACATTTATGAAGGAGGGAGCGGAGATTTCTTTTTTCCCAAAACAAGTTTGCTCGTCTGTACAAAATTTAGAGCTCGTAACCGTGATTTCAACAAATTGAGAAACGATAAATCAATTGTACTATTCGCTCAGATCAAAACTATATGCAATTCTTCAATTGCGTATTTTTCCAAATTGCATGGTTGTAACGGATACGTATTTACTTTATTTAAGTACAAAAGGCGAAAATCAACTGTGGCCGAGTTTATTATGTCATTATACGCGTTCTACGTATTATGTACAGAAAAAAACGTGCGTTATGAATGGATGAATTAAACATCCAAAGATGCTTAAGTGGCCTAAAATGGTGATGACAAAAAAAAAAAATTTTGGTAAATAAGTAAATGAATGGCCGTGCAAAGAAAAACAAATATTGACAATGTGAAACACATTGCAAATTTAATTTAATATAACAATTAATAAATAAATAAAAAAATGTTGTGTGAACATATATCATAAAAGAGATGCACTTAGGAGCTATTAAATTATGATTTATCATTTGTAGAAAGACACCTAGATACTAAGAAAAATAAAACAAGTCCGACAAATACACAGCAAACGAAAAACTTATGGCAGGAATTCGCTGCAAATTTAAACGGTATGACGGAATCTATTAGAAGGGTGCTCGAATATATATTAGTCAATTTAAGTGAATGCATCTAAGTGCCTTTTTGCACGATAGATGCGTTCTCAAAAAAATCGTGGAAAAATGGTAGGTTGGTTCCAGACCTAAAAAATCAACTCAACGATAAACGTTAGTAAAAAATTCTTATTAGATCTCACTTAAATATTTACTTCGTGCTTACTCATTTCAATTCCTTAAATATATTATAAAAAATAAATTATGCTTTGAAAAGACAAGCTAAATTGCGTAATAAATACATTACGTCTTTACCCTTACAAAACGCGAGTTTACAATGCGTATTTGTGAATAGAGTGAATGAGAAAATTCATAGAAACATAAAAAAAATAAATTCATCAGAAAAATTTATTAAAAGAACTTTAAAAAAAAATTTGTAGAATATTGAAAATCTTGTTAAAACAAACCAACTCATGTAAAAACATAATTTTTTTCTTCTTAACTCGTATTAAATTAAATTTCGTGCAAAAAAAAGAACTGGTGTATATGTAAAGTATGCGTCAAAAATATTATTCGTTTTATTTTCAGTCGTTAAATTACAGGTCGCAAGAACAAAGTACCATAAAACAACACAGGCAAGGGGACTGCGTGATATGACGCTTTTTTATAGTCCTACATTTGTTTATTGTACTCAAAACCGCAGAAAAACAATGTAATAATTTTTTCTTTGATTTCTTTTCTTTTACTTCTTTAAATTTTTTAAAATTTTGTCTATACATTACACTCTGTTATTATAATAATAGCGAAATGTAGACCATAAACTATGTCACGTTTTTATAGTCCCCACACATTAATGTTTCAACGTCAGAATATCAAACAAGCGTTAAAAAAAAACAAGAACAGCTGTTTGGAGAAACAGTGATTCCGCGCAAATTATGGATGTCAGTTGTTAGTAACGAACATGGTCCTAAGCTTTTTCTTATTTTTCTCTAATTTCTTTGCATTACAAACGTATTGTTGCGGAAATCCGAAATCCTGTTCATTCCAGCTAAGTAATAAAATCCCTAAAGAGGGAAAAACTAAATGTACATTCGCGGCATGCAGCGACCGGCCGAGGAAAACTAGTACCAGAAAAGCATGTTAATGAATTAAAAATAATACTATAAAATTAGGTACTAATAACGTGATGGTAAAAATGTATATAAATAGAATATTTGTGGGAGGAAGAGTTAGTAGGAAAAGAATACTTAAGTCGAGCAGTTGAAAGTATTGCCAAAACAATTAAATTGTGAATAATCCTACATTTAAAGAATATAATTGTAAACAAATAAATCTATTGTTAACGAATGAAATTGTAAATAGAAGAATTTTGAAGTGCAAAAATAAAGTAACAAAATAAAATAAATGTTTCGGGTTCAAGGGAGATAAGTTTGGAAAATTGCCATGTTATACAAAATTTACTGAATTTGCATATCACATTATATATTCGGAATTTTGAAAGTAAAGTGCCAATATTTAAATAGGAACGTTGTGGCCAACCCGCCACCAGAACTTTGCAGACGAAATTATAGGCTGAAGGACACCGTAAATAGGATAGTATGTAGAATACCTACCCCATAACATCAACTCGTCCGTCTTTCACGAATGTTTGTTGGAAAAAAAGTGAAACCCCATATAGAGCGAAGAAAAACATATGTGGTCATATAGGAGGTAAATTATAAAAAAAAAGTTACTTTAAAGTCTTTTAATTTGGGAATCGCTGGATTGTGAATTTTAAGAATACTTCCAGTACCGCCAGTTAAATAATTTTTAAAAGTATGCTATCAAATTATTTATTTATTTTACTTGTGGTTTTCATACAAATTCCAACAGGATAGTCTAGTCTACACCATATACAATAATGTTCAAGTAAATTAAAGAAAACTTAAATTTATGCAAATAACAAAAACGATCAGCATTTGATCTCAAGGAAGAATTGATATCGTATAATATGAACACACACTTGCAATACGTTCTAGTTATGTATAAAATCATTTTGATTCCTATCAACCATTAAAACTCGCCTAAACATATACTTCAATTAGATGGAAATACATATTGAAATATGTAATGAGAATGAATAACTGTAAAGTTTACTCTCGAAAAGATTCTCTATATAATTTATAATAATAGTTCGAAGTAAGTAGTCTTTTTCAGTATTTATTTCTATAATTTCATTTGCTTACATGTTTACACACGACATACAACTATAATAATAGACGGTCGAATTTATTAGACTCTTAAAAATGAAACTTATGCTGAACATTTTAACTTCATTTTAATAAAGTACAAAAAATAAATATAGGACGAAAAGAACGAAAGCGGTGTACAGATGTACCTCGATTAACACGCGTACAGTACTATATGGAAACCACGTTTTGCGGAACTTCTATTTTTTTTCGTTAAAATAAAAAATCAAATAGAATAACATTAACTAAACGTGCGTATTATATGTGTGTAACGGGTTGAATCGAAACTTTATTCGTGCTATACGGAAACTGTGTTATTAGATACCTTGAAATAATGTAAAACAATGGAAAGTGTATCGCGTTGTATCAAAAATCCTAAAATTTTTATATTTTTTTAAATTTCATTTCAAAAACACAAATAAATAAAGATATAAGTTAACTTAAAGTTTTTACAAAAGTAATAAGTAAGAATAGTTGATCAAGAACAATCATACGATACACCAATTCTTTTAATACCGTTATTCAACCGTTTTTGCATTAATACACAAAAAATTGCACACTGTTTTTATACAGAGACATACTTTCCATGGCCGCATACTGGAGGATGGCTAAAACATCACAGGGCGTCCTCCCAAATTGGCGAACTTAATTTACTTCCTAAAAATTTTATTGTTTCTTAGTTTCCGCCATAAAAAACTAGAAAATAGACATTCTTTCCATATAAGGTCTGCCTTTCATGATATTTATTTATTTATTTTGCTTTTAATTATTTATTTAATTAGTTACTTACACATGAAACTCAGCTAAAATAAATTAACAGTCGAATTTAGTTGACTCTTCGAAGTAAATCTTATAACTATTATTATTAAAAACTAGGACAGAGTATATAAGGAGATATAAGGAAAAGAAAAAAAATAACACGCAAACAATTAAGTAATACACACAAATAGCACAGAGGCTCATCGACAACCGATACAAATCCAAGTTGTAAGTGAATCCCTAAACCATTCTAAACATGCAAAACCTTGGCAACCGATAACAATAAGTAATACCGGTTACACCGGACATCACTTAGGTTTCTGCTAACAACTCACAAGGACTAATTAGAATGCGTTGAAATTACACCAAATAGCTTGACAGAGCATGATTTAAATATAAGATGGAAAGCCATCAGATTCAGACGTACAATTATATCTTAGAGACCTTAAACCATCTAACACGTCAATTTCTGAAGTGACCAAGTCAGGAATGAAAACCGAGTTAGTTGTCGGACGTGGATGCTTAACAGTTAATCGGAATTGGCAGTTGAAAAATATAAGATATAAGTTTTTAATATCATCAGAAGACTCAGAGCCGTTGAGAGAAATATTCGAGGGGTATATGGAGATTTTTCTCTTGGAATTGACAAACTTAAAAAAATGTTTAATATTCACAAGCAGGGAGGATTTTATCAAGTAAAGGTATCTGCAAAAACATTAATGGCTGAGGTAATTAAATCTATGCCATGCAGTAGTACAGCCGAAATGGTCACAAGTGAAACCACTTTCCATAAATTTTTTGAAAAGATTGTTTTTCCCATTTTTGTAATATTTAATTCTTCTGTTAAACCATGGTGGGCACATGCTTCGAGGGAGAGGTTGCTTGATCAGGACGGATGTGGAAATAGCTAGGTTTAATACATTATAGAACGATGACAGTAAGGTTTCAATATTCCCAGCAGGGATATCGAACACAATGTGTGAGAGATGAGATTTAAGGAGCACGATACTGGTTTTGTTAAAACCATAATGTTTTTTGCAGGAAGTTGGATTTGCACGTTAGAGTAGTTCAAGGGTTAACCTTGTTTATAATAAAAGGAAATACAAATTGGTGGACAGTGATTGACAACTATCTCCGAAAAGTTGGCAAAGCAAAGATCTAAGAGCCTGCTATTATAAAGGGGAGAACGGTTATATTGAAGTAAATTACCATCAAATAGCTCTATCAGATGTTGAAGTGGGAACCATGTAGCGACAATTATCACTATAACGCTAAGTGACTTCTGGCAAATTGCAGACCCCCAACGCTATGACTATGTCAGTAGGTTTAGACTTTTCGTCACAACGAGCACAGTAAGTTTCTGATAAATGGAGATATCCAGATTAGGGAGTGGATAACTGTTAAACTGAATAACCGTTTATTGACAATTTTTCCCGACTGGCAATAAATTCAAAGTGTGGAGGAGTTGGAAATTCAATTGAATAGGACTGGACTGTAGCCGATATGGCAATTAAAACACCACCACCAATGCTATCCAATCGAGTTTTTATGAAAACCTGGAAAGAAATATGAAAAATTTCGGACAAATATAAATCAGTCTTTAACCAAGTTTTAGCGGAGAGTAAAAAGAAAGCTCACTGAATTTGGGAAAGTAGAGCGTATTTTTGAGTTAAGGCCCCTAATATTTCGATAAATGAAAGTTACTGGACCTGAAGAAATATGTAGTTTTTTGAGGGTGGGAAAGCTACCGAATTAATATTACGGGATCGATCCCGAGGAATAGATTCCTTAATTAAGAATTCAAGTAAGCACAATGTTGTTTGACAAAATTTTCATGGTTTTAGTCGAAACTAACGCTTTGAAAGACGGGGTAGCTCTAAGTTGAGATGGACCCAATCGGAAGATGTTTACATGCTTCAAATTGACGAATTGGATTTTAGCAAGAAGGTAACTTTTTATGTTATCGTCAGACATGTCAATCGCCAGTCCTGATGCGAATGTTGCCTTACTGCCGTCAAGGAGACTTCATCCCTGGTTTGTTAAATTTAAACGCAAACTTTGCACTGTTAAAGAGACAGTGAATAAAGAGCAAGCCGAGATAAAAACTGTAAACACGCAAAAAACACGAAGGAGACTTATTGCCGAGAGCACCAAGTGCTGATCGCCAAAACCAAAATGAATATCAGGACAAAAAGATCAATATAATTCAATTAATTTAAGCAATTTTACACTTTTATAATTAATTGGGCTTTGAAAGCATATAAGGCAATAAAGCAATGAGATAAAAAAAAGAAACTGCAAAATTTCTTCACACAAACTGATCCATTTCTTCACACAAGGTACCCATCGCGCACGGAGACTTGCCAAACCGATAGCCTCCATATATTAGTTTGGGGTAAAAGCAATCCATTATTTTTTCGGTAGATGGCTGCATTGATAGATTTCTCGTAAAGTATCGATCAAACAATTTCCGATACTGTACATTTACATATTGTACATTTCGCAGTAAAAAAAATTCTTTTGCTGTTTTTTGTTTGGTGCATTCAGTTGTGAGTTACAGCGTGTTAAAAATGGAAATGAACAAAGAGAAAATTCGGTACATTTTACAGTTTTTCTTTGACAAAGGCGAAAATGCAAGCCAGGCGGCTAAAATTGTGAATGGTGTTTATGGTTCCGATACTGTAACAGCTAATTATGTGCAATTTTGGTTTCGTAGATTCCGTTCAGGAATTTTTTATGTTAAAGATGCACCTCGCACAGGTAGGCCGGTCGTCGAAAATGTCGATAAAATCGGAGAAATGATCGAAGTTGACCGGCATGTTAGCAGTCGTAACATCGCCCAGGAGCTAAAAATCGACCATAAAACAGTTTTAAACCATTTACACAAAGCTGGATTCAAAAAGAAGCTCGACGTTTGGATGCCACACCAATTAACAGATAAAAACATGATTGATCGAATTTCCATCTGCGAAGCCTTGGCCAAACGGAATGAGATAAACTCATTTCTTAAACGGATGGTGACTGGAGATGAGAAATGGATCACATACGATAACCCTGCGCGAAAACGATCGCGGTCAAAGAGCGGTGAAGCACCTCAAACGGCCAGGAAGGTTTTGCTATGCATTTGGTGGGACTGGAAGGGGATTATTTATTATGAGTTGCTTCCATATGGCCAAACGCTAAATTCTGATCTCTACTGTCAACAACTGGACCGTTTGAAGATAGCGATTGACCAGAAACGGCCAGAATTGGCCAACAGGAGAGGTGTCGTGGTCCACCAGGACAACGCTAGGCCACACACATCTACAGTGACTCGCCAGAAACTTCGGGAAATTGGTTGGGAAGTTTTAATGCATCCGCCATACAGTCCGGACTTGGCACCAAGCGATTATCATCTTTTTCTTGCATTGCAAAATTTCTTTAATGATAAAAAATTGGAATCTAGGGAGGATTGTGAAAATCGACTACTAGAGTTTTTTGCAAATAGAGACCAGGACTTCTATGAGAGAGGCATTTTGAAGTTACCTTTAAAATGGCAACAAATCATACAACAAAACGGTGCATATTTGACCCAAATCGGACAATCCGAAGCATGTTAAATAAAGTCCTGAAATTCATATAAAAGTAATGGATTTCTTTTTCCCCAAACTAATATATTAGAGTCTTAAAAATGGACCTATGTAATTCAAATTTCCTACTGTTAATATTTTTGCTAACTTGCTA